ATTGGCATATTCATCGCCCTGATGACGGAGGCAGTATGACCTCTGAAACGTTGGTTAACATCGACCAGACTACACAGCGCAATAACCCAGAAGACAGAAATCTTCTAAACAACAGTTTATTGCACAAAACATAACTAGAAAACAAATGTCACTATGATCATCATTTTTATCAGCAATATTTAATACTGCACACACTTAACCAAACACAAAGAACACATACAGAACCTGTGTCCTCCAAAGTACTATTTATATCATACATAACAATTCTGATAGTCAATGAATAGGAATATGAAGTTATTTTATTTATTCCTCATATGATTAACAGATATTTCCAATAATTCTTCTAGAATCACTTTCCACAAGAGATTAATTTTGAGCAGCTTGCTTCTTGAACAAAACATAAATACCTGACACATGCTTGCAAATGTGACAACATTCAAACAATGAATATCCTTTATTGCTACCCAAAATTCCTTAGAACAGTTGGAGAAGAATGCCACAGATATCTATACTGCAGGCTTCTCACCAACTAACATGAGACCAAATCATGATCCCCTGACATTAACAATGTAAGTTTCCATCAAAATATGGAAGTTTACAGTAACAATGTTTCCATTTTTAGTTAACTGTTATTTAGAATGAACAGGCACACATAAGTAGATACAAAATTTTGGTTGGAAAACAAAGGAATAAATCACTTGGGAGAATAATACATATAAACAAGGATTTTAGAGAAATAAGGTGTAAGGGTATGGGCCACTTTCAACTGGCTCAGTGTCTGTAAACTTAGACATGAACTTTCAAGTTTTAAGAAAACAGGGGAATCAAATGAGTAACTATAAACTTTTCAAGAAGGACCCTATGCCCTGAAGTATTTTACTTAGTTAATATACACACATTCTAGAAGTTATTTACTTAACCTGCAGAAATGCAGTATGGCTAACAACAGAAACACATAAAGTAAAAATATGATGGAATAGGCTGACAGTGTTAATGCATAGTTTAAATTACAGGGTTTGAATCTTGGCCAGAACACTGCATTTCCCAACCAAGGTTGTCACATTTTTTTTAAAATCTTTGTAAATGAGTGCAGAGCCAGTATTCTGAAATATGCAATAACTATTTCCTTCCCTGTTCCTACTCATTGCTCATCTCAGTCAGTATTAAATAACCACTGCAACTGATGTAACCCACAACTCTCAGTCAATATAAAATATGACTGTTGTACAAGACAAAACATTACACAAAACAAGCTCAAAGAATGTGGCAAATCAACATTTTGATCAGAAAGGTGTCATCCTGAATATATTTTCAAGCAGATGCAATATCTATATTGGTTTATTTCTCCACTTTCATGCAAAGTTCCATGTTGCTTATGGATTATTTACTCTATGTGTTTGAAGTGATAGAACATAAAATTGTATAGACCTTGTCAAAGTTGTGATATCTTATGCTCCTATAGGAACTTCTTATATCGTTGTTATTATAACATTGATGTATATGTGCTATTTTTCTACATGAAAATATTAATTGCAATTTAAGATTAAAGTTATAACATTTAATAGCATGGAACTGCTTTATTTTCATGATACTCAAACTGGGTTGTGCGCAGAACCACTCAAGTATAAACCACAAAAGTACTACAAAGACTGGTTCTCTATGTACTGTGTTACTGCAAAATATCACATAAGAGGGCTTGACTTGAGTCAGTTTACATTGTATCAAGAGAAAAAGGAAATACAATTATAACATTATTTAATGCAAATCTTTGTAGAACATAAGTTGTTTTAAAAATGTCTTATAAATAATCATTACAGACTGTGTTACCTAAGTGTTATAAATTATTTTTAAGCATTGTGAGTTTCGAGTGGGTGAAGACATTTAGCTAACTAACCAACAGATAATATGCTAAAAGTTGTAGAAAAAGTCTTTTCTTCCAAACTGAAACTCTCAGGTACAAAAACTGCTCATCTGTAAATACTAATGAAGTGAAACAGTTAACTGCAATAATATGTATACATTTCTGAATTACAAATAAACAAACTTTCCATTCCTTCTTAATAAACAGAAAGTAGTTTTGGTGTCAACAAATTCTGAATCCACATCACACATTCCACTTTCCATTTCAGTGTGTACAGGGTGTGTGCAGGGTTGAATAATGTATGTTTAGTTAAAGAATAAAAATAACAAGTAGATCAGGCATGACCCAACCCAACACTTATTGATACTTTCCAAACAAAATATGTACACATATTTGGAATCTTATATAATACAAAATTTTCAAATGATGACTACAGTGATTCATCTGGCTAACTTATAGATTCATGAAATGTAATAAGAGTGTAAGTATCAGTTTACCGACGTTATAGAAGTATTTGCTGCTTCCATCATCGGGGCGATAGCAACTCTAATGATGGAGGAAGGAAGCACCTCTGAAACGTTGGTAAACTTCTAGCAGATTACACGTGAAAACCAAAAATGCTATCTTCGAAGATTTTAGCAGTTAGTTATTTATACTTGCAATAAATTAGTAATTAATACACTTACCGAGAACTGTCATATTCCACAACATACAACCGCCATTCTAAATCTCCTAATTTCGATGATCGACTGTTCAACAGTTATCGACTACAAGGGTATAATTGAGTACGTTGGATGGTAGTTACCGGTGTTATCGACCGAGTTCTTGGCACTGGCTGCTAGGAATAGAATACAATTTATTTACATTCCATAATCCTTCACAGGCCCAAGCCAAAGATGCAAATTGGATGAGGGTTGAATTAATTGAAGTATAAGATTGCACAACTTTTAATTTCATCCGAAGCATCCACCTTATTGGCTCTGATGGAAAGGAACATCTTGCCAATATGAAATAATAAAATATGGTACCCCATGCATATGTTATGACATACAATAACAATACAATAATAAAGATGTAAGATTGAGGTTTAGTTGCACCTCTTTCTCTACTCACCACCAATATTACACAGCTCAGCTAGGTTATATTGGGATGGGTTATTTAATTCAGCAGCAGTAAGAACATTTTGTAATTCCATGAGTCCCTCCTAGATAACTCAGAATATACATATCCCTGTGTAACATTATATAATTTTTTTAGGAATTCCCCTCCATACAACCATTTTCCATGCATATGAATGATAAATCATGTTCCTATTGAATGAAAATCTTGGTAGTGGAATTATGTTTCAACATTGCAAATAGAATAAATTACAAGAAATAAAATGTTTTCTTACATGAACAGGGCAACACCACTGATTGATATGGATTTTCAATACTTACACAAAAAGTATCTATCATTTATCTCTTAGCAAACCTTCTAAACAGTTTTCATGCCGACAAACAGTTTGGGAACCTAACACACGATGTAGAAAATGATAGTAAGATGTCTCCAATATGACAGTTTCGTAAAGTTTATGTGTATTTAACCTGATGCCTAAAATAGAAAGCCACTGAATGATTATTACCTTACATACCACACTTTCAGAAAACATTTTATATTACATGTAATTAAAGTACAAACACCAATTTCAAATACGCTACGCATTTATTTCCTTATTATGTAGACAGTCTAACAATTTACTTAATTTTAAGAAAGATATGTAATTGCACTTTTGGTGTAAAATCTTAATGAAAATGAAATCTGAACAAGAATGGATGGAATAAATTTTATCAAGTTATAGATTTATTTACCAAGACCCTAATATGAGACTGTTACAATTTGAATGCTGGCCAATATGAAATTTTTAGCCACTGAGAATAATGCTGACATTTTCTTTGGTTGTTCCTTTTAGTATAATTATTCAGTCTGATGGTTAGCAAATTCCCTGAAGCTCCAAAATAAATGGGCAATATCTCTTCTCACCCATATACATTTCATCATACTTTTACTTAAATGTAAATGAATAAACTAATAGCATTGGGTTATATAAGACAAACAAAATTGAAATGTGTAAAATCAAGTAAAGATATGTTGTTTATTCATCCCAAGTGCACCTTTTAGGAAACCATTTAACTAACTAACTAACTAGATGGCTTACCGAACCCGAAGGTTCATCACCGAATTAACCAAAGCCCTCCACCGGACCCTGTCCTGGGCCAACAATATCCAGTTTCCTTCAACTCCTATCTCCCATAGATCCCACCTGAGATTATCCTCCCATCTACGTCTAGGTCTCCCCAGCGGTCTCTTCCCTTCAGGTTTCCCAACCAGTACCCTTTGCACACCTCTTGTCCCATCCATGCGCACTACATGTCCCGCCCATCTCACTCTTCTCGACTTAATCACCCTCACAATACTGGGGGAGCAGTACAGATTTTTAAGCTCGTCATTGTGCAGTTTTCTCCACGCCCCATCGTCTTCCCTCTTAGGCCCAAATATCCTCCTCAACACCCGATTCTCAAACACCTGCAACCTGTGTTCCTCCCTCTGAGTGAGAGACCATGTTTCGCACCCATACAAATAGGAAACCATTTACCAGTTTAAAAACAAAATATTGATTGCCTTACTCCAAACCTCTGACCTTAGTTCTTAATCAAATTATATCCATCCTCTAGATTTTGGTGAAGAGATGTTTGTTGTAAATCATATTCTCTTACAGATCCCAAACAGAACACATACATAGTCTTTACTTCACAGCACACTTCCTGATTCTGCAGTCACCATAACAAATTATTATATACTAGAAATTTACTTGAAGTACTCTTAGACCTATTGCACTTGTTTAGCTACATTTTATGCATTTCAATGATATGTTCACAAGAAAAGAAATCCTCCAAGTTTAAACTTTTAAAAATTTAAAAAATTAAATGTGTTGTATGGGAAAGAACTTCCAAAAATTGGTGGCTGCAACACCATAGAACATGAGAAAATTCATATCTTCAATTTGATTTGCCTCTTGCATTTGCGGAAATAATTCAACTGCAGTTGACTAGAATCTATCTCATCTATCAAGTTTGAAGTATGTGATAAAATTAAGGTCCTGACACATATTTGATCGCTTCTGTCAATGTTTTGAAGAAATATGACTCTCTTT